CTTCAGAGTAGTTAAATCCCCTCATGCCTTACTGACACTGACTGGTTCTGACATCGTCATCCGTGCTGTCGCTTCAGTTGAGAGGATGTTGCTCAGATGAGTAAAGTATGTGACCTCTTTGAAATTTCTTCCGTTCATAGTGATTGATGCTTCCTGTTGTTGTTGTTGTTGTTGGTTCGCTACTTTTCTACGCTTCTTCACACATTTCTGAATGAAAAGTGTAGGACAGGATGAAAGTAATAAAAAGTAATGCAGTAAGGTGGAGAGAGAGAGAGAGAGAGATTAGCCACATAATTCTTGAAATGACTCAACGCCTGTAGTGGGGATATTGGAAGTGGCCACATGTGACTCAGTGAAGGCATGAGAGGCATGAAGGAATTCAACCACTCTGAAATCATTTTGAAAAGCGATGAAGCCAGCTGAATAGGACCTCAGAGAATTTGACGAAGTGATGTGGTGTTGAAACTCAATTTTCCACTCGGTATCTGACGGAACAATTACAATAAGTATATTGATGTATATCTCCATATTTCAATATGCACTGCGTTCACACAGTAAAACAATAGTACATTTTCTATGTGCACAATGTGTAAGAACATCAGTAAGTTAGGCTGTCTATTGCAAGCAGTGAAATGCAAAAACGTGTGTGTGTGTGTGAATGTGAGGCATAGATATCCAGAAGCTTCTAACACCCACACTATGCATATGTATGTGCTGATTCAACTTGGTCAGTGTGATCATAGAAATGGTAATGATATTAATGTTGGTGACAATAAGAAATTCTTGGAAGTATTTGTGTGACCTAGATGTGAATCTGTGAGTTCACTTTGTTTATGATTGTATACAAAGAGTAGAAAATTATTTTCTCATGGAAATCAATGAAAAGCATTCAGGTTTTGTGAAATATTGCAGAAGAATTATAGGAATATGCACTTTTAATAGAGTATGAGTACCCTGGTGAACATAATACGGTGATAAAAATTCTTGAATCATTATAGTAATAATAACATGAAGAAAAGGCGCCATTCACCAGTGAATAAAGATACCCTCAATGGATTCCTTCACTTATTTCACTTTTCTCGATAATATTGTTTTAACTAAAGGAGAACGCGATAAGGACGTCAAAGTCAGACAGGATCAGAAAAGCGAGACAGACATTCATGAATCTGAAATCAGTGTGTATATCTGTTACACCGAACATAAAAATCAAGATTTGAATTTTCAGTAGTAATGTGAAGTCAATTGGTGATTCTGTTTGACTGAGAAACAGGACGCATCACAGAAAGCATTCTCAACAGGCCACTGCAGACCTTCATCAACCGCTTCCTATGCTCCACAATAACGATCAGATATCCAGTGAAGATATTCAGTGAAGAAGAATTCTGACAATTCAATCAAGGGTGATATGGAGGAGAGTGTGTGAAGAGGAGATGACACCTTATGGCCACTCGTGAAGCTAGCTGAATAGGAGTGCAGAGGACAGGATGAAATCGAGATGTCCGGTTGAAGCTCTCTGTTCGACTCGTAACCCAAGAGAATAATAATGATAATAGTAAAACATCAAAGTTGTTTAATGATTACTGCGAGGTGTATTCATCTTTTGCATGTTTATTTTCTGACTGCATCTTTTCTCTGATGCATGCGCTCTAATTATCTTACTGGCATCAATGCCCTCAGCTTAACTGATATTTTTTTGAAGGGAATTCGGGACATTAGAAACAGGCAGTCATATAGACCATGAATAAAGCCACCTATTACTACTAAGCTGTTGGTGTTTTAGATGGTGTTTGTTTCATTTCAAACCTAAATTACACATGTACTAATTGAAATTGTTTCCACCGGTTATGCCTCTTTTTTACCATTATGTTTCATAGGCATCAACAAGCATTGAGTATTCACACACACAGACACGCACCCCATGGAGTTTAGAATATAAAAAATATATGATAATGAGATATACACTTGAAGTCGTGGGAAAGGCAAACCAATGGTTGCAGCCAGGGGCACTAGAAGCCGTCATTAGGTGAAGTGAGATGTTGCTAAACCAACTCATCACTAATGTTTTAGATAGAGAGAAAAATATCTTCACTTAGTAACTGAGAAAGGATTTTATCCCTTCAGACCCTGAGCAACCTCTCTATGAACAACGCTCTTCTTGCTTCCCATCAGGTGGGATGGCAGTCAACTTTTGATGACTTTGTACTTGGATGACTAACAATAAACCTGAACAATGCCTTGTTTGGCAGGCACACATTCATGTGATGAGAAACGTCTGTTGGATAGGACACTGCTTAGTTACTCGGGTGCATTACGTTAACGACAGTTTGTATTCTTTCATTTATTGTTATACTGTTTGATAGGGTCCCACACATTTTGGTAGTGACTGTTAATCTTGTATATATGGTATATTATCATTCTCACCTATTTTGGTAGTGACTGCTAATCTTGTATATATGGTATATTATCATTCCCACACATTTTGTTATTGACTGTCAACCTCGCACATATGGTATATTATCATCTCTCACGCACTTTGTTATTGGCTATTAAGATCAATTATTTCAAATGCTGTTAGCTGTCCATATTGTTGTAAAATGTATAAATACCATGGCTTTCTTTATCGTTGTTGCACTTCAATACACAGTCACAGTCCAGCCTTTGTCTTTTGATATTTGCGTGCTTTACTAAATCGGAAGGTACGACAAGCAGATAGGCAGATTAGTTCAGGCGCAGACAGAGCAAGGTAAAAACGTCTTCCTTCAATTCCCTACAGTTATAACAAATTGGCGACCGGGTTTACCTGAATTCATTACAGTTATAACAAATTGGCGACGGGGTTTACCTTAATTCATTGCAGTTATAGCAAGCAAACGACGACAGTTTTTATTCTGTTCAGCGCAGCTATATAACATTTTTGACTGTGTTAATTACAACCCAATTACAATGTCTATCTCTCTGGACGATCTCAAATCTATCTTGCAGCAGCAGCAAGTTCAGAATGAAGCAGCTCAACTAAAATTAATCGAAGCTCTCACTCAGAAGCTGTCCATTCAAGTTCCATCAACATCTCATTCTGACAAATATGAAAGCATCTCAAATTCCATCAGTGAGTTCAACTACGACCCAATATCTGGTCTCGTATTTGATGCATGGTTCAATCGTTACGAAGACGTCTTCCGTATTGAATGCTACATGTTTGATGATGCTGCCAAAGTCCGATTGTTACTAAGAAAACTTGGTACTGTTGAGCACAACAGATATGTTAACTTCATTCTGCCTAAGAACCCACGTGAGTTATCATTCGATGAGACAGTCACCGTTTTATCACAAATCTTTGGTGAACAGTCATCCATGTTTAATATTCGGTATCAATGTTTTCAGTTGACAAAAATGCCTTCCGATGATTATGTGACTTACGCTGGCAAAGTGAACAAGGAATGTGAAAGGTTCAAACCACACGAAATGACATCAGATCAGTTCAAGTGTTTGATTTTTATTTGTGGGTTGAAGAACCCAGAAGATACTGACATACGAACTCGACTTCTGTCACTCGTGGAACAAGACCCGAAAATGACTTTACAAATGGTGACAGCAGAATGCCTACGTTTAATCAACTTGAAGCACGATACTGCTATGGTGGAGTGCAAACGACAGTCGTCTGAATTTGGTTCAATTAACACAGTGAAAAGTCCTCCGATCACCGTTAAGCACACAGAACGTCAGTCTCAAAATTCAGCTAAACCTCCTTCAGTGTGCTGGCACTGTGGTTCGTGGCATTTTGTCAAGTTCTGTCCTTTCAAGAAACATAAATGCCGTAATTGTCACCGTTTTGGACATAAGGAGGGTTACTGTACACCGCAGAAAAATCCTTCGGTGAGGAACAGAAGTAGTCGTTTCAAGCCGAAACAATCTCCTCGAGTACAGACCGTTTTCACTACTTCCAAAGTCGAGTTCGCCAGCAAACGTAAGTACATAACACTAGATATTAACGGCAAACGTATTCGTCTTCAGTTGGATACGGCATCAGATATCACCGTAATTTCCCGAACTACGTGGCGCAAACTTGGTTGCCCACAGATTCTGCCGACCGAGCATGTCGCCAAGAATGTCTCTGGAGATATACTGAAACTCGTGGGTGAGATAAATTGCCAGGTTCAGTTTGGTGAGCATCACTTCAATGGTGTATGTTACGTTACAAACTACCATGATTTGGATTTGCTTGGTCTTGACTGGTTAGACAAGCTCCATATCTTTAATGTACCATTAAATTCAGTATGCTCTAATGTTTCGTCTTCACCACACAACGTTGTTCCCGGAGATGTATCTGATCAATCTCTCTTGCAACGCCGTCGTCAAAAGCACGCTTCTGTCTTCCAGGACAAACTTGGTTGCTGCAAACTGTTTGGCATCCAGCATATTCGTAGCCCCCCGTATCATCCCCAATCGAATGGACAGACTGAACGTTTCGTCGACACCTTTAAGCGTGCTTATGCAAAAGCGAAGGGGGAGGGAACAACAGAAGAAATTTTGGATAGATTCTTGCTGCATTATCGTACGACGCCAAATCCTTCCGCCCCAAATCAGTTATCCCCAGCGGAAATTATATTTGGCCGAAAGATCAGAACTGCCCTCGACTCAATTAAGCCTAGGCAAGTAAAGCAGGGCTGCAGAAATACAAAAATGGAAAACCAATTTTTTCGCCATCACGGAGCTAAACGTCGAGTTTTCAAATTGTATCAGCAAGTTTATGTACGAGATTTCCGCTATTCACCTCCGAGATGGATTCGGGGACAAATAGTGGGGCAGAAAGGAAGGGTTTTATACAAAGTGAATGTAGAAGGACAGTTATGTGTCAGACACACGAATCATATACGAGATGCGTCAGATAGACCTGACAATGGGAGACGAGACCTCACGTTAGAAGTATTAGTAGATACATTTAATCTTCCGCAGCCAGAAGCCCGGGACACAGATCACACTCTATCCAGTACCATGCGAAGGTCAACTCGACAAAGAAGAGCTCCGAAACCTTTTCAAATAGATCCAAAAAGCAAGTCCTACACTCTTTACGGGGAGAGGTGATAGGATCCCACACATTTTGGTAGTGACTGTTAATCTTGTATATATGGTATATTATCATTCTCACCTATTTTGGTAGTGACTGCTAATCTTGTATATATGGTATATTATCATTCCCACACATTTTGTTATTGACTGTCAACCTCGCACATATGGTATATTATCATCTCTCACGCACTTTGTTATTGGCTATTAAGATCAATTATTTCAAATGCTGTTAGCTGTCCATATTGTTGTAAAATGTATAAATACCATGGCTTTCTTTATCGTTGTTGCACTTCAATACACAGTCACAGTCCAGCCTTTGTCTTTTGATATTTGCGTGCTTTACTAAATCGGAAGGTACGACAAGCAGATAGGCAGATTAGTTCAGGCGCAGACAGAGCAAGGTAAAAACGTCTTCCTTCAATTCCCTACAGTTATAACACTGTTGTTAATATTTCAAATTCTATTTCAATTTCATATTCACATAATTATTAAGGAAAATTGATGGTGTAGATACCATGTTTAGTTATATCCGCACAGGTCTTTTTATGTATGGAGAAAGTTGGATACAGTATTCTACTGCATGCTGAATATTCTACAATTGTATCAAAATTTCTGTTTAGAACACAGGTATGGTTATTATTAACAGGGGTGTGTTCTTCCGACGGAGTCATCAATTAGGCTACGCATTCGTTAATGTTCAGAGGAGGGATGTGAAAGTTACAAATCTATTTCTGACCAAGAGTTGAATGATAAGGAAAATCAAAGTGAGAATTATGGAATAAAAGGGTAATGATGATAGCAGAATATAAGCAGGAGTTTCGGATAAGCAATATCATGTGATAGTAAGTATCGAGAAAATGGATTGTCTGTGTTGGCCATAGTGAAGAGAAAGGTTGATCATACTTCTTTTGGATGCACAGAATCAGTCTGATCCATAATGTTTTAGTTACGCCCACATGTCATAATCTCATTTCCACGGGTAGGTGTGATCAGATATTGTGTAGGACACAATTTGTATACTTGTGAACAGCCGTCATTTAGGCATGAATATCTGAGAATGAAGTATAATTAATATTGTTGTGTGAAGTATCCAGAATGCCAGTAAAATAGTAATGACAATAAATTATCACCATGGTACATATGAAAGTTTTTTACAGATGTCTTCACTATCGTACTGCATGAAATAATTTTGAAATTCAGGTCGATGTTGTGAGTGTGCTTTAGCTAACTAAAGTCATCCGATATATTTCTGATGAAATTCTCTTTAAGACAATGACGTTGTCGGAAGGAGTGCAAACAATCGTCGGCCTGAATCTCTGAATTCTGAAAGAAATATATACGGCATCTGTTAGTACACATTTTCTTTTGTAATACGCCATGTTATCTACATGACCATATTACTGGCATTTACATTGTAGATACTTCTTTCCGAAATTGGACAATCGATGTCCACTTGAATAGCACAAAATGAAACACTGAATACTTTTTCAGACAGTCTTTCTCCATTGGTGTTCAATCTATCATCAGTTTCAGTGTTTAAACACAAGCCACGAACTAGCACATAACGACGTCTGTGTAAGCACCAGTCTAAAATGCAACATAACATAGTTGTGTAATCCATGTGTTGTCTTCATATCCATAATTTGTTTTGTACAGCCATTGCAAATTCATTCTCATCGCGTGATTCTCACTGAAACCGCTCCTCAGAAATTTCAGAAGGGTGTTTGTCCATTGTTAAATTCCTATTACATCAGGAAAAGGCACATATCAGTAGTTAAGAGGAATTAGTACATGGACAGAACTATACACGTAGATATCAACTTCCACATTTCGCTTAATATGATTAAATTAGTTAGTTTGGGGGAAACAATATGTTATTTCATTCATGTTGGTTTGGAGCGGAATCCAGCAGGTGCAGTTCGTCTTATTTGAGGATTGTCAGTTGAATGCAGCTGCATCTTCAGTCATTGGTGGAACTTGGACCCAACACACATCGTTTCAAAAAGTAAAGGATTGTTTACTAGGCCACCAGACATGAGATCCACATCATGTTTGACGGGTGACCGTTTCTACTGGGAAATGCAGGCATATTCAGCTAGAGAGTTTCAAACGAGAGCAAATGGATGTTTTGGATTCCCCTGCTAGCAACCATCAATAAACATTCATGCAAGCCCTAAATATTGCTAAATTGTTTGTACTAGTGGCTGATATTTGAACACAGGTGGAACATTTCATCCGATATAATCGAGTGATATGAGAAATACGTACCAATCTACTTGAAAACAAAAATTCAAAATTACTTACGTGTTCTTCTGAAGTTCATACGAAAATGATGATAGTAGGGTACTAAACCAAAAGGAGACAAAAGTTGGCATGACCTAATAAGTGTAAGATAATGACTAATCAATAAGCTACTGTAGAATGGACAAGAACTAGTGGAAAGGCTATAAGGTATTTTTGTATAAGATCTGTGTGGAAAGCAATGTTATTAATAAACAGTAATAGAGTGGTAATAAAGTGTGGATGGTGGGAATAGTAATAATAATAAAAGTATTAAGAACAGTAATAATAATAATAAATAATAGTGAACTTACATATTAAAGGGAGGAGAAAAATTATAGTAAGAAATTTACTCTGGCCATGGTAGGGCTAGAGAATGTATGTATCGTTTTTGTATGCATAGGTCCGGTTTTAGGTCACGAATAGCTAATGCCTCAGCTATGTACAGATGTCGTATCCGGAGTCCTTTTGTACGATATTGAGGGACTCTGTGTACCACTTTGAAGCATTCGTGTGGGGGTGCTCGATGTCCGGAGATAACAAGGTGTTCGAGGATTTGGCTGTTGCTATTCTTCTTTTCTCCTCTGGCTAACCAAGCTGGGCAGTGATCCAGGATACGTTTGTGGACTTGACGTTGCGTACGGCCGATATACTTTGCTCCACACGAGCAAGTGAATTGATAAATACACATTGAAGTGGCCAAAGGCGGTATCTTGTCCTTAACGTTAGACTGGATTAACTGTCTGCAGGAGAATGTTATACGTAGAGTGGCTGTTGGGAATGTCTTCTTCAGACTTTTTGAAAGAACTTCTTTTCAGATGCACGTTCAATATCCAGTTCAAATTCAATGAACAGTTCTATGTACAGAAAGATGGAGTAGCCATGGGGTCTCCTCTCGGTCCACTCCTAGCTGACTGTTTCATGGCGAGTCTTGAAAACAACATCCTTGGTCCCTTGATAAGTAAACTGCACTTATACAAGAGATACGTAGATGATACGTTTATAATCTGTGATGAAAAATGTGATTTAGATTCTCTCCTGAAAACCTTCAACGCAGCGCATCCATCAATAAGATTCACCTTAGAACGCGAATCGAACAACGCATTTCCATTCCTCGATGTATTAATGACCAGAAGAGACGACTGTATGATCCAAAGATCGATATACCGTAAGCCAACATGGAATGGACAGTTTATCAACTTCCAGAGCTTTGTTCCACTGACCCGAAAGAGAAACTTGGTACGTACATTGTGCTCAAGGATTAGAAAAATCTGCTCGGAATACACGGTGGAGAAAGAATTAAATGTATTGCGTGAAACACTACTAGAGAATGGGTATCCGCCAAGATTCATCGATAAAAACATGAAGGAGAAGCCCCCGGTGTCAAATATCACAACGGTTCCTAAGAAGACTCTCTTCATGGACCTAGAATGCAAAGGTGACATCGCGGCGGAAATTCTCAGAAACCGCCTTTCAAAAAGTCTGAAGAAGACATTCCCAACAGCCACTCTACGTATAACATTCTCCTGCAGACAGTTAATCCAGTCTAACGTTAAGGACAAGATACCGCCTTTGGCCACTTCAATGTGTATTTATCAATTCACTTGCTCGTGTGGAGCAAAGTATATCGGCCGTACGCAACGTCAAGTCCACAAACGTATCCTGGATCACTGCCCAGCTTGGTTAGCCAGAGGAGAAAAGAAGAATAGCAACAGCCAAATCCTCGAACACCTTGTTATCTCCGGACATCGAGCACCCCCACACGAATGCTTCAAAGTGGTACACAGAGTCCCTCAATATCGTACAAAAGGACTCCGGATACGACATCTGTACATAGCTGAGGCATTAGCTATTCGTGACCTAAAACCGGACCTATGCATACAAAAACGATACATACATTCTCTAGCCCTACCATGGCCAGAGTAAATTTCTTACTATAATTTTTCTCCTCCCTTTAATATGTAAGTTCACTATTATTTATTATTATTATTACTGTTCTTAATACTTTTATTATTATTACTATTCCCACCATCCACACTTTATTACCACTCTATTACTGTTTATTAATAACATTGCTTTCCACACAGATCTTATACAAAAATACCTTATAGCCTTTCCACTAGTTCTTGTCCATTCTACACTAGATAAGATAAGATAAGTTAAGCTTTATTCCAAATCAGTACTTGTGATACAGAATGGAATTCTCAGCATTTTACTACAATATTGCATCCAGTTAGTACATTAACAATAAGTATAGTTCTACATAGATTAAGGTTATCTCAGTTAGTTTTGACAACAACATATTAGCATGTTGGTAGCAAAGCCAAAATTTAAACAGAGTGTTTGAAGGTGTTAGAAAAGTAGATACTACTAGCATATTTACTGGCGTAAGCAATAGCAAAATGGTCGAGGTATACAGAGTGTGAAAGAACGAACAAGAATGTTTTAAGTAGAGTTTGTAAGGAAGAGAGAAACAAAACAGCACATAACAAAAATAATACAGAAAGAAAAAAAAGGTAGAGAGAAAACGTTGTACCTGTAAATGATGTGAGTTGGAAAGACGAGATCCATTTGTTCTACTGACTATTTAATAAGTTAAAGGTTTCCCGCCTAACGCTTTCTTTATCGCACAGAACTCGAGCTAGGTAGGGTATGGATGAGTTTTTGTACTTGCTAGTGCGGGCATATAGTTTCCTATATAGGCTTCTGATTTTCCCTGAAGAGATACATGAGGAGAGTTGTGAATGTAGAGGGTGTTGTGAGTCAGATAAAATGGTTTTTGCCCATTTTTCACATGAGTCCATGTGCCTGTCCACCAGAATATTAACAAGCTGGCTAAGTGGCACACTGCTTACCCTGCTGACAACCTTTAACATCCTACGTAATAAGGTATAGTCTTTCTTCAATAGCCCAGGAAAGACTAAGGGGGAACAATAGAGAATAATAGGCAGAATACGGGAGTTAACAAATTGTAGGAGTAAGGGTTGGGTTACACCAAAATGTCTTAACTTCTTGATGTAGAAGGTAAGACGGAATATTTTCTTGGAAATCGTCAAGATATGAGACGACCAGGAAAGATCAGAAGATAGAGTGACGCCTAGGTATTTAATTTCCGACTTGGTTTCAATTTCAGTGCCATCTATGTTGCACATCTCGTGAGTCCTAACCAGTTTGTTTAGGTCAGATTTGTGCCTAAAGGTGAAATTAACTGTTTGGCATTTGGAGGGGTTTAAGGTTAGACCGTTTTCCTTGGACCATTGGCTTATTTCTGATAAAAAGCCATTTAGTTTAGAGCAGTCACTTTGACATTTGACAGGTAAAGATACAGTTAGGTCATCAGCATATTTGACAAAGTTAATGTCATTTGAAGACGGTAGGTCATGTAGGAAGAAAGAAAAGAGAAGTGGGGAGAGTACAGCACCTTGGGGGACACCAGCTTCTGTGAGCACAGCAGAGGAGGATTCGCCTTTGTATACGGTGTACTGCATTCTGTTTGAAAAGTAGGAATGCAACCAGTTAGTGACCCAGGACTCGGTTTGTGTCATGGAGAGCTTATTTAGCAAGAGACATCTAGGTACAGAGTCGAAAGCAGAAGTGAAGTCAAGAAACGTGCAGCGGACATATTTGGCACCTTTGTCTAATGATGAGACAATACTGTTGTGTAAGACGGCTGCAGCGTCTAAAGTACTCCTACCCTGTCTGTAGGCAAATTGTTTGGGGTCTTCGAAGCTTTTAAGGGAGGGTTCAAGTTTAAGAAGTACTAGTTTTTCCATGAGCTTTAGAAACGGGGAAGTGATGGCAATGGGTCTGAACTTTACGTTCTTGTTGTTGCCAGGTTTAGGGACAGGGACTATTTTAATGTCTTTCCATGGAACAGGTACAACGTTTTCGGAGAAAGAAGCATTTAGGATATTAGTTAGAGGAGAGCATAAAGCATCTGCACATTGTTTTAGAACATATGCAGGTATGCCATCAGGGCCAAGACTATGTGAGGGCTTAAGAGTTTTAAGACATTTCAAAACATCAAGAGTGTTAAAGTCCTGGAAGTTATCAGCTACAAGATTAGTAACGTTAGAAGTGGTTATAGTAGAAGGAGAGCGTATAAAAGACAGATTAAGAGCATTAACATCACAAGAGGGAAAAACATTACATCGCTTACTATTGCCAGTAATTTCATTGAAAAATTTCCACATGCTGATAGGAGATTTGCATGATAAAAGTGTTTGGTTATAGATAGCATTAAGATTTTTGATTTCAGATTTGATTTGAGCATTAATCTTTTTAAGTCCTAACTTGTCTTTGCATTTATATAACATTTCTTTTTGCCTGCGAAGTTGTTTGAGATGGGGAGACGAGAAGCGGTCGAGGCGTTTGAACAGTGTTTGTTTGGGACAGCATATGTCGAGGCAGAACTTGAGATAATCCATTATATTGGTGATTGAGTCATCTAATGTACTTTCATAGAATAGATCCCAGTTAGTATCTTTTAACATGCATCTTAGATTGAGAAGGTTGTCAGATGTGTAGCTTCTTTGTTGTGCCATCGTAGACAGGTGTGAGAAGATTTTAATATGTGTTTTGCTGTATATTTTTGGCAAAACGCGGACAATGCAGTGATCGGAGTTAAGTATCGGTGAACGTCTACGTGTTTCATATACTCCTTCGTCATTAGTAAAAACTAAGTCGAGTGTTTTGTCAAGTCGAGTGGGAAATTTGACTATGTTTGTGTGACCAAGAGCTTCAAGAAAGGAGCAATCTGAGGTGTTGAAGTCTCCAGTAATAACGGATAGAGTTGTCGAAGTTGGCAGCAGCAAACATGGTGAATTCATCAGCAAAATTAGATAGATCAGATGGAGAGCAGCTAGGAGAAATGTACATGTTTGTAATATATATTTGTTTATATTTGGGGAGATGTTTGGGGCGACATTTGACAGTAATACAGTCAATGAAGTCATTTGAGAAGGTGAAGCAGACGTTATTTGAGACAGACCATTTGGAGTGAATAAAAGTTGCAACGCCACCACCATTTTTCTTATTACAACATTGACGGTCTTGACGAAATAAAATAAAGTCCTTTAGTGAGATAAGGTTGTCATCATACAGTTCATGCAACCACGTTTCTTGTAATGTGATTATGGCGGTGTTATGATACGTATCAGTTGACATCAAGGATTGTAGGTACATTATCTTGTTTGGCAGAGAGCGACAGTTTGTGTTCATTATGACGGGGACCGTAGTTAAGTGTATTGGTGTACGTTTGAGAGCTCTCTGCCAACCACTACGATGTTTCCTCCTTGGTTTCTTTGGAATATGAAAGTCATTTGGTCGTAAATGATTAATGAAGTTACGAGAGTAAATGATTCTGTTAGAATTCATGTTTAGGTGATAAATAAATGTTGGCAAACAGTCTAATTTCTTCTAATTTATAATTAGTGATCCCTTCTTTCACCTCACATTATGTAATAGAATTTGCAAGGACAAAATTTGCCATTATCTGTTTGGTGAAGATAAACTTATGTGTTTAATTATAATTACGATTGTATAGCTCATGAAATTGCATCGTCGAAAAGAAACTTTTCGTTGCTATTTGTGCCTTTCTTATGACTGAATATGGGAATATTTCGTTCCAAAAGCTACTTCTGCACTAATCAACCGTAGATAGACTGAGTACATTTCTCAACCGTTCTTGATTCTACTCACTATTGTCTCCTTGTATTCCAGAATTTTCCAGCCACATGCTTTTTTGATGTTATCATTCCTTTCACTGAACTGTAGTGATCTGGACTCATTTGCTCCATTGACCATAAATGCAACTTCACTTGAGGATTATCCGGAATGAATTCAGACATTCTTAATTGTGTTTACTCCCATTTTATTATGCCACAGTATAACGGCACACCACAGGCGACTTGGTGAAGGAATGGCTATTTGTAATTTGGTGTCCCTATGTAGCCTTACTTTGTACACCTTATCTCTATATCATCACTTACACAGATCTTCTGTGTTGTTCCACTTCTGCCCCTCGTATTATCTTTCTTTGTCTTTCTGTACACTTCTTTCATGTTTTACCAAAACTTTGAATCCTTTGTTCGCCTTGACGTCAATTCTATCTACTTGCTACTTGATTTTTGTATGCTGATGAACGTGTACTTTGCATAAGAATGAGAAGCCTTATTAGTAGCACATGCCACGACAGACTTCTCACTACTTATGTCAGTGTACAGAGTGGTAGGCAACTCATCAGTGTCAAACACCTGTAAAAAAAACTGACATGAGCATATTAGTTGAGAGTTTGTGTCTGCAATCTCCTTAATATGAACACATCTGATATTGATTTGTGAATATTTCAGTTCATATCTATTTTGAATTCTCACACGTCAGGCTGTTGTATCTCAACATCTACAGTGAAAAATATAGCTTAGTGTGAGTTTCTTAACTCTCTTTGGCCATAATTTTCCTACCCTCAATTACACGTTTGCCATTGTCATCTAAACTATGCTAGCAATTATATATATATATATATTCACTTCAAGTAAGTTGCTATGGTTATTTGTTAGTTGTATCATTAAAAGCTGGGTAGAATGGATTTACTCCCATGATTTCGTGGAAAACAAGTTAGGCTATGTCCATAATGTCATCATTGAAATACGTTACCCTGTTATATTGTTTCGTAGAATCATGATAGCATATGAAAGAGAGTGGAAGTAATACCGATTACAAAGAAACAACTGTCGATGAAGCGTCGTTTCGGTTGGTCCATTATTGGATGGAATGTCAGTGCCACATTGTATTTATCATTTGTCAGGTAAAAGACAAATCACTCAACGGTGTGCATTGAAAAATGTATCTTCACAAGGTAGATATTCTGGATTTTCGTGTCATAATTTGTTTTTTCTACGCATTCTGTTGGTTACTTTGATGTCAGCTAATGAACCAATTACATTTCAAATAACCATGACCTAGTTTGTGATTCAAGATTATGTACACTCCACAAATCACTTCCAAATGTTAAGCTATTTCTGTAAATTTGAATTTCTAGTCTGAATAAGGCAGTGTGATTTAATACATCAATCAAGCACTCACAAGATGAATCTTCTGGGTGAGTAGTTGTTTATTCTTCATAATTGCAAGTCTGTTGCAAAGTGACTTCCAAACACGAACTCATGATACTGCTGATTTTATGGCTTCCTCTATTACCACTCCTCCATTTGTACACTCAGCGTTATTTCAACAGGAGTGTGTCCACAGAGATCAATGGTTGTCGGCGAGCATTGTTGAAGAACAGCATAGATTCGAAAGAGAAGACGGAATGGATAAATCAGTCGATATTTTCCTTACGCAAACTGGCAGGTGAGTACAGTATTCAGGCGTGAACCATGAAGTTATTATTTCGATTTAATTATTTATTATTTGTTAATTACTTATTTATTTAATTTTTTATTCATTTATTAATTATTTATGGAATAACCGGAAATATGAGTACGACGATTGAATGAATAATTTGGAAACTTATTAATGATTTCAGACAGTGACAGTAACTTTCAAAGAGGTGTACACTTGTGAATGTTCTCATATTTTGGCAAGGAATATTTTTTGGCAGTATGACATATGACAAACTATAAATTCCATCCTTTGAATCGCTCATAGTTAGAGGTTACAACAGCTCCTCTTTCAACAGAATTGTGTTTGTGGAATAGAATTATCTGTATGGGATTATCCCAATATATTTGACGATGTTGATCGCCTTCGCTTGAGATTATCAAAGCGACCTGTGGAAGACTGGATCTATTTGCGTTGTATTATTATTAATATGAACACATTTCAAAATGACTTCACTGACGACTATGATGTTGTTATTATTTCATGGGAGTTCAGTAAATCTGTGGAATCGTCAGGTGTTTGTTGCTTCATTGAATGTCTATAGAAGTGATGAACACTGACATTCATACTGATGTGTAGACTTTACACGTCTCAAACGTCAGACTTCCATCTGTGAACCATCACTTGTGCGTCGGTGGCACAGTGGTTAGGACTCTCGACGACCATGCACATGGTCCGGGGTTCGAGCCACGCCGACGCACACCCGATATCTATGGTCGGCCTGCGAAGTTCGGGCTACCGATATCCACGCTGAAAATTCCATACTTGTACCAAAAATACAGTGTGGAATCAAGCTGTTACCAAAAATAAAAAAATAAAATAAAGTACAGTTGGCCGTTCCACTAGTATTTCATATCTGATGACGAGACAGCCTTGGAAATGGTTTGTTCATAGACTTCCAGTGATACGCCTAGCGCCGACTGACTTTGAAATGAAGCTCTGGACCGATGGTCGATATGTGCCTGCAGCCTACTAATCACTAGCCCTTATTACTTTAGTGAATACTAGTGTATGAACTGCCTGGTTGTAATAAGTAGTATACTGGACGTTTTCACAAACTGCTTCAAATCAGTTCAACATGCATGAATACCAGTTTTGTGTTGCACATGCTTCCCTTTACATAACTAGGATGATGAGGCCGGATAGTTTGTATGACGACGTTTAAAATAAGGTTTGAAAACTCACTAGTTAAATGACTGAGTCTGGTTTATCTAACTTGGGTGTATGGTTATATTCACCACTTTGAAATGAAGTGCCATTTCACAGGTTTGAATATTTGAGAAGAACTCACTACTTCATTCCGAGTGTTCGGTGTCCACTATTATGTGATTATCAGTAGTGTAGTATACATGACCCTGATTGATATAAACATTGTAGTAATTGCGCAACACATTTCGAACAATCTGATCACACACGGACTTGTCATAGGAATATATATATAAAAAATTAATAAAGAGGTAAGAGGTGAGAAAAATAGACTTAGGTCAAGTTAAAAGGACATATTCAAGGTCAAAAAATAAAAATGAAGACCACTAAACCAAATAGCAGAGGTAATAGTACATCTGCTATGGTATCAAAACAAAATTTACCAAGGAAGGTTTAATGTGATGACAAATTGTTTTTGAACGCATAAAGGTGGCTTGAACTTTCTAGTTGCTAGGGCTTCTACAAACTTTAGGATACGCCCCAAACACGTTTTATAGATAGGTTTAAAAGATCTGTCAACATCAATTTTATGACCTGTCTCTATAATATGTTTCGCAATAGAAGAGCTAGGTCTCCTGTTCTCACCGTTAATAGGTTCTGATGATTCCATTTGTTTCTGGAGCCATTTTGGAATATGCTCTGAAGCCCTTACTTGCAGAGATCGATGAGTCCTCCCTATGTATGTGTGTCCACACGTACATTCAAATTGGTAAATACAGTGGGATGTGACGTCATTTTTCGCATGTTCGAAGGGCTTAGATAGATATAATGGCTTTACATTCTCTAATATTATGATATTAGCTGCATAAAAAGTCTTTTTAACAGCAGCGTTCAGCCTTTGTCTAGTTATCAAGCTGCTTTGATGTCCCATATAGGGTAGCTTGATGTACACGTCTTTCTTAGGGGCGAGTTGGAGAGTGGGTCTTGGTGTTCTGACTACTTTATATCTCCTGATGAACTTTTCTGGATAATTGTTATCAACCAGAGTTTGTGTCAATATTCTTTCCTCTTCATCAAGCGTGTCTTCAGTGCATATTCGTCGGATTCTACTGAAGAGGCACCTTACTAAGCCTCTTTTGTACCGAATAGGGCAGAAACTGTGGTAATTAAGATACTGTCCTGTCCAGGTAGGTTTTCTATAAATAGATCTTTTTATTGACCCATCAAGCCGTCGACTAAGCAATATGTCTAGGAAAGATAAACAATTATCTTCCTCTTCTACAGATGTAAGTGATATGCTATTCTGAACTTCATTCATTCGATTTAAAATTGAGGTGGCAGAACAAGGCTTATCACTGATGACTACGATATCATCTACATACCTTCTATAAAGTGGCACATTTTCGATTAAATCTTCCGATAAATTCTCAATGTACGACATATAAATATCTGCTAAAAGGGGCCCTAACGGACTGCCCATAGCAACACCATCAACTTGGCGGAAACAGTCGCCTTCAAATGTAAACCTAACATTGTTAGTACATAGAAGTAATAAATCTTTTAAGTAAGATATAGGGAACGGGATGAAAAAATTGTTTGTGGAAATATAATCACACAAAATGTCAACTGTTTTGATCAAAGGCACATTAGTGAATAACGAGTTTACATCAAAAGAGTACATATTCTTGTTCATTATATTAATATTACTATCATCAAGAACATCAACCAATTCAAATGTATCTTTTAACACATACTTACAGAATTGTGTTTTGACTGGAGTCAATAATTCCACTAACCATTTAGCAAGTTTATGCGTTGGGGATTTGCACATTGACAATATAGGACGTAGAGGATTATTGGGTTTATGTATTTTCGGCAACCCATACATATGTGGGAATTTACAATCTGACGGTTTTAATGAGTCCAGTTTATCTTTACTTATAGCATTTAGGCCATGAAGCTTCAGTAGATTAGCTGTCACTGTGCCCTGCAACAACTGAATATCTTCTGAGGAGGGATCACGACTAAATTTGCTCTTGTCATCAAGAATAGACATCATTTTAGATTTGTAGTCACTTTTATTCATAATGACGACTCCAGAACCTTTATCAGGTTTAGTAATAATTATATTAGAATTTTCCCGTAGCTCTTTCAAGGCTTTGAAATGTTGGGAATTTAAAATACTCTTCTCCTTTGGGTTGTTGTTTAAAAACTGGTGAGCTATATCCACCATCTTGGCCTTAAACCAACCCCGATCTTCATCGGATGTTGCGGTAAGAGGTTTGAGTTGGTCATATAAGTTTTCAAACTCAGCATGGATGGCTAAATCCGTAAATTGCGTCCGAGGAACACAAAATTTGAGTCCAAGGGATAAAGCTTCTTTCTGATGAGTAGATAGAGTAATATCAGAAAGATTTGTAACGTACTTATCAGGATTCACCGGGAAGACATCTACGCGGTTTCGATCATCGATTGAACTCTTCAATTTATTTTGTATATTCGTCTTCGTTTTCTGAGTAACTTCTTTACAAAACTGAAGAAATTTCATGTGGCATATTATTGATAATTCAGATAAAATAAGCGACGCATCGGTATGAAGAACAAGTAGTCCTTGTAAGGTTTGTTTAACATTTTCGATATGTGACTTTGTAAGACGAACAAGATTAGAGATATTTGGTTGTAATTTACTGAATTTCAAAGTTTTATAAAATTGCCTCGGGAAAGAATGATTTTTAATACATAATTCATAAAATTCCAACGTGTTACGTTCGACGATAATTTTACACCTTAGGTTAACAAGTTCATTTAACCTTTTGATAGTGTGTGGAGGGAGCCTTCCCTTTAAAATTCAGTAAATTACAACCAAATATCTCTAATCTTGTTCGTCTTACAAAGTCACATATCGAAAATGTTAAACAAACCTTACAAGGACTACTTGTTCTTCATACCGATGCGTCGCTTATTTTATCTGAATTATCAATAATATGCCACATGAAATTTCTTCAGTTTTGTAAAGAAGTTACTCAGAAAACGAAGACGAATATACAAAATAAATTGAAGAGTTCAATCGATGATCGAAACCGCGTAGATGTCTTCCCGGTGAATCCTGATAAGTACGTTACAAATCTTTCTGATATTACTCTATCTACTCATCAGAAAGAAGCTTTATCCCTTGGACTCAAATTTTGTGTTCCTCGGACGCAATTTACGGATTTAGCCATCCATGCTGAGTTTGAAAACTTATATGACCAACTCAAACCTCTTACCGCAACATCCGATGAAGATCGGGGTTGGTTTAAGGCCAAGATGGTGGATATAGCTCACCAGTTTTTAAACAACAACCCAAAGGAGAAGAGTATTTTAAATTCCCAACATTTCAAAGCCTTGAAAGAGCTACGGGAAAATTCTAATATAATTATTACTAAACCTGATAAAGGTTCTGGAGTCGTCATTATGAATAAAAGTGACTACAAATCTAAAATGATGTCTATTCTTGATGACAAGAGCAAATTTAGTCGTGATCCCTCCTCAGAAGATATTCAGTTGTTGCAGGGCACAGTGACAGCTAATCTACTGAAGCTTCATGGCCTAAATGCTATAAGTAAAGATAAACTGGACTCATTAAAACCGTCAGATTGTAAATTCCCACATATGTATGGGTTGCCGAAAATACATAAACCCAATAATCCTCTACGTCCTATATTGTCAATGTGCAAATCCCCAACGCATAAACTTGCTAAATGGTTAGTGGAATTATTGACTCCAGTCAAAACACAATTCTGTAAGTATGTGTTAAAAGATACATTTGAATTGGTTGATGTTCTTGATGATAGTAATATTAATATAATGAACAAGAATATGTACTCTTTTGATGTAAACTCGTTATTCACTAATGTGCCTTTGATCAAAACAGTTGACATTTTGTGTGATTATATTTCCACAAACAATTTTTTCATCCCGTTCCCTATATCTTACTTAAAAGATTTATTACTTCTATGTACTAACAATGTTAGGTTTACATTTGAAGGCGACTGTTTCCGCCAAGTTGATGGTGTTGCTATGGGCAGTCCGTTAGGGCCCCTTTTAGCAGATATTTATATGTCGTACATTGAGAATTTATCGGAAGATTTAATCGAAAATGTGCCACTTTATAGAAGGTATGTAGATGATATCGTAGTCATCAGTGATAAGCCTTGTTCTGCCACCTCAATTTTAAATCGAATGAATGAAGTTCAGAATAGCATATCACTTACATCTGTAGAAGAGGAAGATAATTGTTTATCTTTCCTAGACATATTGCTTAGTCGACGGCTTGATGGGTCAATAAAAAGATCTATTTATAGAAAACCTACCTGGACAGGACAGTATCTTAATTACCACAGTTTCTGCCCTATTCGGTACAAAAGAGGCTTAGTAAGGTGCCTCTTCAGTAGAATCCGACGAATATGCACTGAAGACACGCTTGATGAAGAGGAAAGAATATTGACACAAACTCTGGTTGATAACAATTATCCAGAAAAGTTCATCAGGAGATATAAAGTAGTCAGAACACCAAGACCCACTCTCCAACTCGCCCCTAAGAAAGACGTGTACATCAAGCTACCCTATATGGGACATCAAAGCAGCTTGATAACTAGACAAAGGCTGAACGCTGCTGTTAAAAAGACTTTTTATGCAGCTAATATCATAATATTAGAGAATGTAAAGCCATTATATCTATCTAAGCCCTTCGAACATGCGAAAAATGACGTCACATCCCACTGTATTTACCAATTTGAATGTACGTGTGGACACACATACATAGGGAGGACTCATCGATCTCTGCAAGTAAGGGCTTCAGAGCATATTCCAAAATGGCTCCAGAAACAAATGGAATCATCAGAACCTACTAACGGTGAGAACAGGAGACCTAGCTCTTCTATTGCGAAACATATTATAGAGACAGGTCATAAAATTGATGTTGACAGATCTTTTAAACCTATCTATAAAACGTGTTTGGGGCGTATCCTAAAGTTTGTAGAAGCCCTAGCAACTAGAAAGTTCAAGCCACCTTTATGCGTTCAAAAACAATTTGTCATCACATTAAACCTTCCTTGGTAAATTTTGTTTTGATACCATAGCAGATGTACTATTACCTCTGCTATTTGGTTTAGTGGTCTTCATTTTTATTTTTTGACCTTGAATATGTCCTTTTAACTTGACCTAAGTCTATTTTTCTCACCTCTTACCTCTTTATTAATTTTTTATATATATATTTTGGTATTTCTCCGAGTGTAATCATCAAAACAGGTTCAATTTTAATACCTTTATTAACGTTGTTAGCAACGTTAACTTTTTTTTCGAGATATATTTATGGATTGTTACCGGTAAGAAAATCAGTTTAATCCTAATTTGGTACTCATTCTCTTACTGGTATCAATCCGTGGACAAACCTGAAACAAACCAAACGAATTCTTGCAGATCAATATGACGCTAGCTGGTGACTGATTGCAGGATGTATTTATCATCAGTCCTAGTAAGAAGTCGTGATCAGTGGGGTCACTCCGTTAAGGAGTGAGGACAAATACTCGCTAGTGACAATGACTGGTTCTCATGCTCAAATTGTGAATCGGTAGAAGTTAGAACTGACGGGTTGCTGAATCGGATTCCAGTGCCTGAATGTTGAACGCACTTACCTTGTGACCAGAAGGTCCTGGTTTCGAGTACCAGCGTATGCGTACTGCCAATGATTCCCACAATAGGAGAAAACGTCTATCCAGTACTCCCTAGTGCTCAATGAGTCTCCAACTGTGATAGCAATCTGTGATGTTACCTGAAATGAATCGAATTCTTGAGAGCTGATTTTCGAGAATATTGCCTTGCATTCATTCTAAAGTACTCTTTAAAATCCGAATAATTTATTCTTAGCATGAATTGTGGATAGAACTGAACAGAACAATGTTTGCATAGACACAGTATCCTCACAAGAAAGCGAAAATGTGCTTCATATAGTGTGTGCGTTGGTGGCACAGTGGTTAGGACTCTCGCCAACCATGCACATTGTCCGGGATTCGGGCCGTCGCCGACGCACACCTGATCTTTATGGTTGGTCTGCGAATTTTGGGCTACCGATATCACATGCTAAAAATTCCATACTTGTACCAAAAATACGGTGTGGAATCAAGCTGTAATCAAAAATAAAAATAAATAGATGCACCACATACGCAGAAAAATACTGATTAACCACCAAATCATATAAGAGATAGACGTGAGTATGTGCAAATGTGGTAGTCTCGAAAATGTCGATTAATTCATCCAATAGAGTTGACATGAGGTGATCGAGAGGCTTGTGAGTACAATGGTGAATAAAACGCGCCAGTCTTTCAATTATTTATTCATTTATTTGTTTGTCTCAATTTATTCGTTTCACTTTCTTATATAGCCACGGTTAATCGATGCATAACGACTAGATTTAAAATGTGGTAGGATTCTCGCTGAAATACCGTTCAGCATTCACGCGAACAGGAGTGGCACACTGGGAACCTTCGTCCATAGACATTGTGTTTACAAAAAATGTAGTTTTGTTCATCATTGATGTTAGACTGTAACTTATCCCTGGTCCTTCGCAGGTAGATCATCTTGAGTTACTCTTAATAGTGAATCCTGACATTTTATGCTGCCCAAATGACATAAAGAAATTTCTTTCTGTAACCTATGGAAACAAAGCTTTTCGTGAAAAACCACACAAATGTTTCGGTAGAATGATTTTTCAACACTTTTTGAAGTGTTTCAATAAACTTCGGCTGTCCTCTTTAGTGGATTACGTAAAATATATGCGAAGTAACTCTATTCAAGCACAAAGACAGGTTTCTTACTTCCTTCCAATTCATAAACTGTCAATAAAATAGTGCAGTAACTTATATGTGATATGTGTCACATGTTTGGAACCAGGCTGTTTCGTCACCTTTCGTAGGATACACTAGTTTTACGCATATCAGCCACCAGGTTGCGTATGAAAAATGACCTTGGTATTTCTGATGCAACACTACATTTGCCTCTTGGGAATCGAAAGATGCATCAGTCCCTTCACACATTATCATTGCTATTTCTGACGAAGTAAGTATTTTTATGTCCTCGCCACTCAGGTGCATGTAGTCAAATTATACCATGTAGTATTATATTTAACAGCTTCACTTTGAAATGAATTCCAACAAACTGATTAACAAACAGTTCCCGCATATTTTGATGCAGATTCATTTCCCTTCGGATATTCTCATGAAATCCTTCGACGTCGTGCAATACATTACGTGCATGAAATGAATTACACCTTGAACAGCCTTCAAAAGCAACTGGCTGATTTACAAAAGCTCAACGAAACAATTGTTGATAATGCAACAATATTCTCGCTTGGAAACGATTTGTCCAAGTTTCAACAACACGTCACAGATATACTTTTCAATGTTGAGAGAGTTCTGAATCAGTTGGGTCAAGTGGATGGATTTTCTGAGGAAAGAAATTCCAAGCTAAATGAGATATCTCAAATCGTACAGAAAAGGATTCGACAGTTACAGGTAAATACGATCTTTATTGATTAATCCATCACAGTGAAAATGGCATGTGTACCACTTAACTTTATGAAAATGTTCAGGTCAAAATTGTTTTTATTGCTCACGATTCTCTTTTCTGACACCAGTAACCTCAGACACCAAGCATGTTTACAATTCACATAGCTATTTACCAAGCGAATGAGCTGAACTTTACTCAAGTTCATCGGTAGCTAATTATAGCAGTTTGTATCCTTCCCCAAACAATCGAATTTCAGATATCACGGAGATCAAAGACTACATAAAATACTCGATTAGCTTATTGTGATCGTCTAGCCACTGACGATGTCTGTATATCTAAATGTGTGGATACACAGTGGAATAATTGTGGAGAAAAAGACGCAGGGATATGCGTGAAAATATATAGTACCTTGCGCTAATTTACCTGGTATCTTTTTTCCAAGCACATCAGAATTAACAATAATAAAAGCAGCTTTATTCCAAACAGTATTTGTGGTACAGTTATGGAATTTTCAGTGTGCATTACAATATATTGCATCTAACTACCTCATAAATTTTATAAGATTTTAAAATCAAAGAGCAAAGCCAAAAAAAGTTAAATACAAAAAATAAAAACAACAGCGTAAAGTTTACATTTCAAACAATGCACCACACGATATGAAATATAAAATTGGTGTGTAATAGAAGATGAGAACAACAGTGTAGTAGTAACGAGGAAAGAAAAACGAAAACTAATGGGAACTATTTGTTGGAGTGCCGCAGTAAGTTTATCGTGTCATACCTAACGGATTTCTCATCACATAACAGCTGTGCCAGATATGGTATTGTGGAGTTTTTGTATTTGGTGGTCCTAGCATATAGCGGCCTATAGCTGCTTCTAGTTCTACCAGATGAAATGCAAGGAGACAGCTGCGTAAAGAGAGGATGCTTGGGGTCTGAGAATATTGTATTCGCTAATTTCTTACATGACATTAAATGTTTATTCACAATAGTGTTAACTATTGGGTTTAACGATATCCCACTAGCCCTACTAACGGCTTTTAGTGCCCTTCTCAGCGAAGCAGTCTTTCTTAAGTAGTCCAGGAAAGATCAGTGGGGAGCAGTAAAGGGGGATGGGTAGAATACAAGAATTGACAAACTGAAAAAACGGAGACTGCTTTATGCCAGACTGCCTAAATTTCCTAATGTAGAACGTTAAGCGAAACATCTTTCTAGTAACTAACAAGATGTGGGAAGACCAGGAAAGATCGGTGGAAAAACTCGGTCCAAAGTACTTGACATTAGATGTATTTTCAAACTCTCTGCTGTCAATGATAGTGGGGTCATGTAAGCTAGCTAGTTGTTGTAGGTCACGTTTACGTCTGAAACTGAAATTGACTACCTGACATTTGGACGGATTAAGCTTAAGTCCGTTTGAAGAGGACCACTGACTAATTTCCGACAGAAAGTTATTTAATTTGGAACAATCTGACTGAGAGTTGACAGGCATAGAAACCGAGAGGTCATCGGCATACTTAACAAAAGTGGCTACATCAGAATGAGGCAAGTCATGTAAGAAAAACGAAAACAGAAAGGGAGAAAGAACAGCATTTTGAAGAACACCAGCTAAAGTAAGTGAGGTATTGGAGGACTTTCCATTGTAGACGGTGTACTGCTTCCTATCAGAAAAATAGGAATGCAACCACTTATTTGTCCAGGTCTCAGCCTGTGTTGCAGCAAGCTTACTTAGCAAGAGAGACCTGGGAACAGAGTCAAATGCAGATGTGTAGTCAAGGAAGGCACACCGAACGTATTTAGCTCCTTTATCTAAACTAGAGACTATACTATGATGTAGGACAACAGCGGCATCTAAAGTACACCTGCTATGTTTGTAAGCAAACTGGTTGGGGTCGTTAAAAGGCTTTAAACAGGGTTCAAGATTAGGTAAAATAAGTCTTTCCATAACTTTCAAAAAAGGTGAGGTAATAGCAATGGGTCTGAACTTAACATTAGGTCCACTTGTTGATTTAGGCACTGGAACAGTCTTGATATTTTTCCAGGAGTCAGGTATAATACTTTTGGAAAACGATTCGTTGAAAATGTCAGTTAATGGGGAACACAAGATGTCAGCACACTTCTCAAGGATAACAGCAGGAACACCATCAGGGCCAAGGTACTGACTAGGTTTGATAGATTGAAGACACTTGAAGAAGTCATTCGTATTAAAGCATGAGAAGCAGTCATTATTTACACTATTTGAGTTAGGCATCATTAACATCTGCAGGGATACATATGAAGGATTTATTAAGCGTGCCAACATCTACAGAAATATCATTCATCATTTGCTTACCACCTATGATTTCCTTTAATAACTTCCATATATTAGATGGGGATTTACATGAAAGAAACTTCTGGTTATAGAGAGCATTCAATCTTTGTGATTCAAGCTTAATCAAATTGTTCATTCTCTTAACACCAGATTTATTTTTCAGTTTGAACAACCTCTCTTTTTCACGAAGGAGCTTTTTGAGTTGAGAAGAGGGGAAGCGGTCGAATTTCAAGAAGATTGTCTCTTTTGAACAACAAACATAAAGACAGAAATTAAGATAATGTGTTATGTTGTTAATTGTGTTATCAAGAGCTTGTTTAGTAAATAAGTCCCAGTTTGTGTCTTTTAACATGGACCTTAGATTCAGTATGTTGTCATGAGAATAACATCTGTGTTGTGTTTTCTTTCAAAGGTATGAGAAGACCCTTTTGTGCTACTTTCCATATACTTTGGGCAATATTCTTATGATACAGTGATCAGAATTGAAGAGTGGCGCTCTTTTTCGAGCTTCAGATATACCTGTGTCATTTTTAAACACGAGATCAAGAGTGTTATCCATTCTAGTCGGGAAGTTGACAATGCTATCGTGTCCACGTGAAATTAGGAAGCTGTGATCACTAGAATTAAAATCTCCAGTAACTATAGTCAAGGAATTTCCGAAGGAGGTGGCAGCAAGGGAGGTAAATTCATCCGCAAATAAAGATAATTCTGCGGATTCGCATCCAGGAGCAATATAAATGTTCGAGATGTAAATGTAGTTGTATTTTGACAAATGTTTAGGTCGACAGTTAACGGTGAGGCAGTCAATATTGTCACTGGATAATTCGAAACATACGTTATTAAACGTACACCATTGTGAATCGATGAAGATGGTGACACCGCCACTGCGTTTCTTCCTGGAACTACACCGATCTTGTCTGAATAATTTGAAATCATTTAGATACACTAGACTGTCATCATATGGATCGTGTAGCCATGTTTCTTGAAATGATATGATCCCAGTATTTCGATATATAACGGAAGATACAAGTGATTGAAGACAGTTTATTTTAGCTGGCAGGGAGCGACAATTAGTGCTCATAATTGCGGGAACAGTCATGAATTGAATAGGGATATTTTTCAATGCTCTTTGTCACCCGGCAGTATGCTTTTTTTCTTGTTTATGGAATTGCACATCAGTAGGTTTTAAAAAATAATAAATACTCACGAGAATAAATAATCCGACTAGAGGTCATATTTGAATAAGATTTAGTTACTTAAAATGAAATTGTAAATGAGAAATGAGATGCAATATTATTTGTAATGTATGAGGTATTTGGTAGCCCAAGATTTAAGCAGGTCGCCAAGGTCGTCTTTTCGCAGTCATGCCTCAGAGAATGAAATTTGAAGAAGATGAAAATTCACTAGTCGTGTTGCGTATGCTCAACTGAAACACTGAAATATTTACATTAAGATGTCGCGCGCTCCTTGAATACGACGTGCTTTTTCCTCTCCAACCGGAAAATACCAATTCTGTGAATTATCCGTTTGGGAAACCTGATCTTCCTAGCCGGTGAATTTAATTCAACCATTACTTACATAGTAAATCTCTGTGTGGTAAGTCCAGCTGTCTCGAACTACTGCCAAAGCTTCAGGTGCTACTTTTGTAGCAGCATCTTCCTCACTCGTTCAGAGAAACAAGACTTGTTGGTCTACCACGTGATTGCCGTGAAGCCGATCATTCAGAAAGTACTAGGTAAAGTCGAAAACCTTTTCTTTTCCTTGCCTTACACTTTTTCAGTCTTATTCTTGCTCTTTTGGTTAGAAACTGTTGCTCTCTTAGACGTACATAGCATAATTTATAGTGATTGTTAATATGGTTGTTGAAAGCAGCCTTAAAAAAGCCACTAGAATACCGTACTCTGTAGTCACAAGGGCTTCAGCCAGGGAAGGAAAAAATCCAGGGATTTCAACCCCTTCCCGCATACCGATCCTAAAGACTCGTGTAGCTTTAGTCTGCCCTGATACAACGCCTGCATTGCCACAGTCTAGTACTGAAACGGCACAGGCAATACCACAAGGACAGAATTCTACACCTGCATCAACTGTAGGCCAGTGTGTGAAACACATCAAGCCTAAAAGGAAACGTTCAAGACGTCATAAGACCTCGAAGGCGTCATCAAGGAAAGGGGATGAATGCCAGGCGTGCAACATCACAGTTTCTAAAACTGATTCAGCGTTTGAATGTAATTTTTGCAAACGATGGGTGCACTGCCGTTGTGACAAAGAAGTACCGAAAGCATACTATGAGTTTATGAGAAATAACCCATGCCCATGGTTTTGGTACGTGTGTCCACTTTGTCGCCCTGGCATAGTCCCACAAAGCGTGTCTGCGGATAGCAGAAATAACATGCTCTTGTGCCCCAACACAGTATCATGCAGCTCCCCCCTGCTAAACTCGCACTGCCGAAACTGGTCAAAGACTTAAAGAAGGACACACCAGCCCTACTGACTGGAAATGCCAATTCTCACAAGGTGAAGATTAGCAAGGTTCCATCCACAACAGGGGAGGGCAAAATTACAAAGGCACCACTTGCATCCACTAGCAAGCCTGGCAACACAAAAAAGGCTGTCCAGGTACCGACGAAGCCTAATGTTGCTAATGATGCAAAGGACTGCAAGAAGCCGAAGGCAAAACCTAAGTCTGAGGGTAGTCGGTCTAACTCTCTCATCCTCTTTAACGTACCTGTGAGCACGGATAGCTTGCTCGAACAACGGGCCCTGTTTGATCAGGAACAGTGGTCCAACCTGTGTGGCAAACTAGGTCTGAACATTAGTTCAGCAAAACTGTGCAGACTGTACAGGGGTGTCCACACGCCTCAGGGTAAGCCACCCCCATTACGGGTTACACTGGACTCTGCCGAAGAGGCCGAAAAAGTACTGTTAATGGCTCAGGTACTAGCCCTGGACAGAAGTTCTAACATAAGAGCGCGGCAAGATAGACCATGGGCCGTCAGAAATATGGCGAGGGAGTCACCGGAACTGATGCCTTCCACCTCTATGGTGGTACACGGTGTTCCGGAGCTGGAAACCGGCACTGCTTGTGAAAAACACATGCACGACGTACAACAATGGAGATGGCTGTCATCTCAGATGGCCCCTGGCGCTTCTGGAGCCATCTCCATTTTCCGACTACCTCGTCCCGCTCATCTAACATTGATTAACTCTCCAAAGCTGCTGTGTGTCACATTCAACTCCCCGGAGCAGTTGTCCATATCACTTCAACGGTGGTATGAGACCAAGGGAAAAATTGGAGGACACATCCGATGCTGTGAAAGCAGACCCAGAAATATAAGGAGGCAGCAAACTGAGGCTTTAATACGACCCCAAGCTTCGGTGACACTAGAGCGATGCAGCTCTGAGAATAATAGTCTGTGTCTCCCAAGTGTCCTGCCTAAATCCATTGAAAAAAACTACAACGGGCCGGTTCTATCGGAATCGGCCAACTAGTTCCAACATCAAGTCCCCCACCAGCAGACGGTTTCACGTCAACTACCCCACAACACTCTGAGGTTGTTAGACTCACTGTCAGTTGCCTATATAGCAATGTGAGGGGGCTGAGAGGGAAAGTAGGTGAACTTCGAAATCTCCAAGCACACCTTCAACTGAAAATAATCATTCTTACTGAAACGTGGCTAAACCCCACTATCGCCGACAATGAAATCAGTATAGGTGATATGGTACTGGTCAGAAGAGACAGGGATAATAAGGAAGGAGGGGGAGTTGCTATATACTTTGATAGGCAACTTAAATGTGTGCGCGCAACGGACCCACCACTTATCGAACTCCCAGACTCCATATGGTGTCATTTCACCGTAGGCCACACCAAGCACTTACTGGGTGGCATCTACCGATCTCCCACCTGTGGGGCAGAGCACAATCAGCTACTGCTCAGCACTATCACAGGAATACGAGATTTGGGCTACGACCAAATCACCATAGCTGGAGATTTCAATGCTCCATCACTGAACCTTGGCTCCGGGTGTGCTAAGGGAAAATTTGGCCGAAACCTACTGCAAACTATTCGAAACACGGGACTGACTGAGAATGTTGGAGACGACACTAGGTGGGGCCCTAGTGGAAAGTCATCAAAACTAGATTATATTCTAACTAGTGACCAGCTACTCGTCGAAAAGGTCCAGATCATGACTCCTCTGGGAAGCAGTGACCATGCAGTCATAGGTTTCGATCTTGTCCTCCGTGAGCGTTTGCAATGGGATGTTACGCGACCATGTCTGTGCTACAGCAAGGCTGACTATGCTGAAATGCGGAGGCTCTTGTCCGACGCAGACTGGCCCTTAGCATGGGACGACCTATCTGTGGATGAACACTGGGAAGTGGTAAAAAAGATTATCCATACAGCAATCTCGGATACCGTCCCTTTAGTCACAACACAGCCTAAGAGAAAGACGTCATGGTTGAAGAGAGGCACGCAACGTATTCTGCAAGCAAAGCGGAGGGCTTGGTTTACGTGGCGTGTATCTAAGAGTCAGACCGACCATGATGCATACCTCGAACTCAGGAACCGGTGTAATGCAAGAGTTAGGAGGGACAGAAGGTCATTCCAGGCTAACCTTGCTAAAAAACTCCTATCAAACCCTAAAAACTTGTACCGATTCATGTCGGAAAGAAAACCGACAAACCAAGGGGCATGCGCCTTAGTAGGCCCAAACGGTCAATATCTCACTAGTCTGGAGATGGCTGAAACATTCAGTTCAGCCTTCGCTAAACAGCTAAACAGCAATGTGGATATTACAGTTACGGACCAAAATGGTGGCACCACTATTTCAGAGGAGGAAGACCTAGCGACTACTCCCCAAATAAACCCCGCAATAGTACTAAGGAAGCTACAGAGACTCATACCTGGGAAGTCCCCAGGTTGTGATGACATCAGGCCATCTGTTCTGAAACAGTGCGCCGAGGCTCTCTGTAGACCCCTGTGCGACTTGTTCCAACACTCAATGGATTCGGGGACCCTGCCAAGGGAGTGGAAAAGAGCCATCCTTTCTCCAATCTTCAAGGGTGGGGACAGGCAAAACGCTGCTAGCTATAGACCAGTAGCTCTACTCCCAGTGGTATCAAAAGTACTGGAAAGTATTATTGACGACCACATCAGGGAATATTTCGATAGGACTAATATACTGCATGAAGCCCAACATGGTTTCAGAAAAGGCAGATCCTGCGTCACTAACCTACTGTCAGCTTGGGACGACTGGACATCATGCTGGGACTTGAACGTACCAGTCCATGTGGTCTTCCTAGACTTTGAGAAGGCATTTGACACTGTTCACCATGACCTTCTCCTACATAAAATAAGACAGGCAGGCATAGGTGAGCCACTTCTGTCATGGTTGAAGGACTACCTAGCCGACAGGCAATTTTGCACTAAGGTTAACCGAGTCCGATCATCTTGGCACAGATCGTCATCAGGAGTGTCGCAGGGTTCTATCCTAGGACCACTGATGTTTTTGATTTTCATCAATGATCTACCACGCCGTCTGAGCTGCCCGACTCTCCTGTACGCTGACGACGTAAAAATATGGAGGGCGATAAAGTGTCCGGAGGACTCAGATAGGCTACAGGAAGACCTAAACCTTCTGGAAGACTGGGCGGTGGCCAGTGGCATGACTTTCAACTTGAAAAAGTGCAAAGTAGTGAAGTTGCGCACCTGTAGACTGCAGAATGCAAGTTACACCCTGTGCAATGAAAGCTTGTCCTGCACAACGTCGGAACGCGACTTAGGTCTAGTTCTAACGGAAAAAATGGACACAAGCGTAAATTACACAGGGGATGTAGCGAGGGCATATGCGGTCATACACTTTACGCATAGACAGTTAGGTGCACTCACTCCTGAGCTCTTTCTAATGTTGTACAAAACATACGTCAGGCCACACCTTGAGGTGCATAATATTATTGCACCCCCAATGCTGAGAAGAGATGCCAACCTCTTGGAAAGAGTCCAACGACGGGCAACAAAAGGAGTGGTTGGTCTCCGAAACAAACCATATGATGAAAGGCTGAAGAAATTAGGCCTGTTCACACTTAGTTACCGTCGGCTTAGGGGGGATTTGATTACTGCCTACAAAATAACAAATGACCAGAATCACCCAAACAAAGGTGTTCTGCCATTGAGTAGGTATAGGCTTCCACGTGGAAATCCCAGAAGGATAGCTCACCAGAGGGCAAGGACCCGGGTGCGCTCCCACTTCTTTTCACTGCGGGTTTGTCGTCCCTGGAATTCCTTACCGGCAGATGTAGCTATGGCACCGTCTTTGGACGCCTTTAAGCGAAGGCTGGACAACCATGCAGCGATACAAGGACTGCATCCAAATGGCCTATCTCCTTAAAATCGCATTTACCAATCAGGGTAGATAATTAAACTCGTCATTTTACTTCTTTACATTCTCTCCCGTCTTACTCTCCTGACAACTTATTAATATTATAATTACTATTATTATTATTACTATTACCGATATATATATTATTCTTCAAACTTCATGAGCTGACTGTTGTTACGTTTCCTATTTTCGTTTCTGTCTCTTAGTCTGAATAGCTTCACTAATTATATCTATTATTATTAATATTACTATTATTATTATTATTACTATCTCTTTTCTCTTGTCGACAATACCGAAGGACTAACTGGCGAAAGGATCAACTCCAATCACAGTAGTAACAGTCTTAACATACCTCATACTACAAACCACATATAATTAATCCCAGCACTACTCCCTTTGGAGTCAACCAAAGCTACGACAGTCGAGTGGCGGGACAAGCTACGCAGAAGTTTACCGAAGATCAAGAACCTATACCTCACAATCAAGAGGCGAGCACAAAGAAATCAAATTGGTTTATACTAGCTCGTAAAAACGATATTGGATATTGGATGCCACTTTGATTATACTTAACGCCATCTGCATCGACATGCAGAGAATGAATTATTTTGTCTGGCTACAGTCATACATTTCCAACATTGTCGTTTGTTTGATTGATTGTAGAATCCGGCTGACTGCACAAAAGCCAAGTTTATGACATTCAATTTCACGAATTTGTGTGGATTCGGTTGTTCCATACACCAGTTGAGCTATTGCTTACAACTGTCTTTGATGACTGGACGTGTGTTGGTTGTGAATAAACATGAGACTGGAGATATATTCCGCGAATGGTTGCAGCAGAACATCCTTCCAATTTCTGACAACTGTAGTTATAGAGACATCACTTTTGAGTCAAGTGAGTTGAATGCAATTTTATAAATCTGTCACTAATATTACACTTTAGTTTCCATGTCCATATGATAAGTAATAGGCTGGATAAACTTGCAGAATTGCTCATGATTAAGCGTATTACACGCACGATTTATGTATTCCCATAATGCTTATTTGAGAACACGATTTAAGCAAACACGTACATTCCGTGAATTCTCTCTCACCAGACTTTGTATTTCCATCACGAAATATTTGTCATAGGCATTTGAATTGATGTGGTCAATGAAATACAGCATCCCAGTTCCGGGATGTGAATTAATGGACAACAGTCGAGGTGAGCATGATAACAATAACAGGGATATATAAGGATAAGGCATTTAAGAAAACAAATTTTTCACGGTGATACAATTTCGTAGTTTCTCTACAATCGCGTCCCAGTTGACGTGGTTCACAATAATAGAATAAAAGGCATGACAGTTACTCAGTTATGTAAAACAAAAGTACATAACAATGACAGATCATATTTAAATAGGTCAAATAGTCCATGGTAGGCGAATTCTGAAGTCTGTTCTTTCTTGTACACATAGTTAGGGATGTATATGTTTAATGAAAATTGCTTCCCTCATCTTTAAGAACCTTGAATCATGTCTAGTAAATTAACAATCTTCACTGGGACATGGAAACGAAGAATTCAGCGAAGACAACTCTCTTTTCGACGATTTCATTTTCGTGGCTGTATAGTCGTACATATTTATGCATATGTACAAGTTGTTTATGGAGTATCGAATTTGTATACTTGTGCGTTGACGAAGATCAACGTGGTCAGCTATTGTAATGATTAGTAATCTCAACATCTAAACATTGTACTGAGTAATAGGTCATCATTTTACTTCACCACTGACTTCATCATTGGATTTCACCTCATGAATGTATTCAGCGTAACATTTCGTTAAATTGATCCAGTGGTCATGAATTGGTTAATTTTAATTTCGATTAAAATGATGAATGTTAAGTGATTAAAAAATTGTTTATTCAACTACAGATAGTTTGGAGTGCCCTTATTTGCTTTACGGTCCTGCAAATAACAATCACTGGATTCCAAATATTCTACCAAGTGACTTGGCTATAAAACTATTTCATTACCACGAAGCACCCTACGTTTGGTTTGCCGGTCAGCTGGCTGCATTCATTCTGCGGCCTAAACCTCATCTAGCTGAGTTAATCAAAGAGACAGTGAAGGAATTCAAGTCAAAACATCATCTTGTTGTAGGTGTGCATGTAAGACGTACAGACAAAGTAAGTGTTAGTGATAGCTCTTGGGGAATGAGATTTTATTATTACTATTATTTCCTTTAATTCCTAGAGGAAAATGGGACTTCATCAGTACGTCTGCATTGCGTCCGGTTCTCTGCTGATGTTTTCACTTGGCTCCAAGTCTGCCCACATATTTTCATCTGATCAAAAATGATTGTCAAATGAGTGCTTCAGATAATGTCTGGATGATGTGATCAGATCGTTCGAATTTGGCTGGTTCTGTATGAGCTACTCCTGTATTATTCTGACTGATATGTCGGAGATTTTAATTATTTTCAGAGGGTATATGTTGAGATGAAATGCGACTTACACTTCTACACCACAAACAGGAAAAAACTACATGCTGTGTATTTTATTGTTACAACAAAATTCAGTGAGACTTATATTTGTGCATTTTTAGCTAAAGGAGGAAGCTGCGTTCCACGATTTGACAGAGTACATGAAACACGTGGAAAGCTATTTCGATTCAATGAATTATACTTCACAAGTGAGTGAATATTTTTATGTGATAGTTCAATGACTAGAATATTATATCTACCATTTCTCCAAGGCAATCTCTAGGTGGAGCGATCAATCAAATGGAAGCGATTTCGTGTATTAGATACCTACATGTGAAATCAAGCACATAGACTTCATCCCACACACGTGTATCTGATGTGTTGTCCACTAATGGAATTATTGGTGACGAAATTCTCACCACATGATATGATCGAATATCGACGATGATTGTAATAGGGAGTTCACTCACTCCAAGGCATTCCGACCAATTATCCACTGTCCTGTTATCCACTCCTCACTTTGTATGCTCTTCATCCTTATTCATGAAGGATCGTCACCCAGACATTAATAGAAACGAAAAAATGTACTTCAGCTGTGAGGCTGTTTCCAAGGGATGAAAACTACACATTTCGTAACTGTAATTGACTTTAGAAGCGGTCGTATGTACCGGTCTCTTTTCATGAACTAGCACTGTAGACAACCAAGTACTCATTTTCCCGTAGCTTCTCCCATATCTGGATTGGAAATGCGCTGTCTCAAGAGGTCAGTTGTACTGGCAACTGATATATGTCCAAGCTGGTGACATTCTTGTGTCAGCTTGTGGCGTAGCGTATTTCCGCCAACCTCCTTCCATTTTTCTCTTCCCAAGTCAGAGTTCCGTAGGCGTTCACACTTAATCGATCATTCTGTGTGAGTAGTCAGATCCTTACACACCGTAGATTGATTCACTTCCATTCCGTTAGTGATTACCTGTATGACTGTATTCAGGATTGGGTCGCATTTGTGACTGGAGGCAAGTCTTAATAGGTGTTATTTCAATACACGCATTCCGTGAACAGTCCTCGGATAATCAACTTCGTATTCCGGTCTAGATAAAAGGCCTGTTGAAACATTTTCCTTGCCAAGAACGTGTGAGTTCGTGAAGTCAAATTCCTGCAGGCGCTACATTCAATCGGACAATTGTCTCACGTAGGCCTCTTGCCGTCCTCAGTTTCGATGTGGAAGCCTTTGTCGAGTGAATACTGTCCCCATTTGTCTACTGGCCATACTATTGTCAAACATCCTTTCTCTGTCATCGATTACTTCTCTTCTGTATGTGGTAATACACGACTGGCACATAAGCCAACTCCATCTCCTTACCTGTGTACTTCAACTATGGCGTAATCACTCGCATCTGATCCCACTGGGAACTATTTTCTGGGTACAGGTAGTTTTGGCATCATTTTTGGTAGTCTAAAATCCGTTTAGTGCTGTTGAATAAATTCTGCAAATCTTCCGGTCAAACAAACTTCACCTAATAGCCTGTATAAAGGGGCTGCTATCTCGTCGAAGTTTTCCACGAATCGATTGCACAGTGCGAATCTCCCCAGGAACTACCTTAGCTTCCTCTTGAAGTTCGTGGACGTAATTGTCTTTGTAGGCAAGATGTTCTGCACCAGCGGTTTGATCTCACAGTTGCCTAATACACCACTAATACACCACCCAATAGTGTGATATAACTGTAAACACTGTGCGATTTATCAAAATAAAATCTTATCTATAATGGAATTATACTCTACCACAGTGCCCAAGTTTTATACTTATATCAGTGTGATACTACGTTTGACTATCCGAGATTCGGTTTTGTTGATCTGCTATCCAAACTCTTCAATGCGTTTTAATACGGCTTCGACACGATTAAGATGGTCTCTTTTGTCTTTACTGTGGATTACGACGTCATCATCGTACACACTCACATTCTTCAGGTTTCTAAGTAACAGCGTCGTCGGTCATCTGAAGGTAAACAGTTCACTTGGTAGTTTAAATGGCATGTGCCTTAACCAATGCGTTTCTGAACCACGTTGGACACTCTGTTTTACCGGTATCTGCCATTATGCTGCTTTGAGTTTGAGCACTAAAGCCAGATTTGGGCAATTAAGACGATATCAGGTCTCTGCCATAGTTGGCATGGCACATAGTCTCAACTCCGTCGCGCTGTTCGGCTGTCAGAAACTGACGCAGAATCTTTACTTCACGTTCGCTTTGTTCACCAAAACGACTTGAGAGTTATGAGGATTTTCAGTTTCTTCAATAATATCATCCTGTAAAATCTCCGCCGCTTGTCACTCGACTTAGGCTCCTAAATGACATGGGATTGAACGTGTTATGAATGGTGGCGTTTTGTGACCGCCCAGTGAGATTTATTGCTTCAGCCTATCACAATATCCGTAGAGGTCCACATCTCCTGTGAACAAATGATCGTATTCTCTAGCTAATATATCAGTAACATAAGCCACATTATGGATATGTCTATCTATCTATCTATCTATTAGACGAACATTTAACTTGATAAACTTGTATGAAACTGCCACGTCAGTGTCACGTGATAAATTGAATTAATTTCTCAAATGAAGTGTATGGTAAATGGTCCTGAATTCTCCGTTTCAAAGGTGGCATTTTCTATGGACATATTTTGCATATATATAGATACATAAGACGCGAATAAGTTTCAAGTCCATTGGACGTCTAGTACTAAACATGCACAATAACGATATTCAGACATCTGTTATCGTTTTTATTTGCTTCAAAATATCCGCATAGATACACAGTATGCAATAAATCTAATCATGGCTGAACAAGAAATAAATAGTCAGCTTTCCTATGTACTCATTAGACAATCGAGTGATCGTTCACCCATATCCAGAAGAGCATAATATAACACCTGAATTCTACTAGCGAAATTGTGAGCTACAAATTGTGTGTTTTATGATGTTTCTTTCCAGCTGCATGGTGAGACTGTAAGCATATTTACCAAGGATCCTAAATAATTCACCCCCACTTTCTTCCATCTTTAGTCGAAGCATCTGGACAAATTCAATTACACGAATGAAGTATCCAATAGCATTCACCATTTTTCAGAAAACAAACGAAGCGTTTATCTTACCACAGACGAAACTTCAGTTTTCGAAGAAATTTCCAAGCTATATCCGCATTATATTGTTTATGGAAGTCCAAATAGATCCCAGTCAGCCGCTATGAATAGTCGTCAGAGTATCTTTTCAATGACAAATGCATTTGTTGATATCATTGCATTGTCACAGACAGATATTCTCGTCTGTACATTATCTTCAAATGTGAGTAGTTTATTTATTCTGTGATCACCCTAAACGATTTTGTGTATCCTGTAGGCTTTGCTGTTGAAAGGGTGTATGAAATAGTAGATGAACACAATTGCTGGTTAACTAGTTCTTCATCGTCGGTTGGGTTTATAGTGATATATGTATATAGTTTTCTACATCCACATTTTGAAGGAAAGGGGTGAAAAATGACTACGGAGTTCCAAATAAGTCCATTCTTAGGCGTTATCAACAAGTGATTACATAATCAAGAAATCTGTTAAATAGCGATGACTAAGAAGAATAAGATGACTGAGAAGAATTATGTAAAGTACAAATAATTCAATGGAATTGGATAGAATTGTGGAAATAAGAAATTCAGAAGATGATGACATGGGGAGAGGGAAAGTCACTTTTAAAATACTTAATATGTATTATGTATTGAGCCAAGGCAAAGTAAACGATAGGATAAATGTCTCTGGAAATACTTAATCATTTTTGAGATATAAAATCATTGTAATACAGTGTGTTCCATGATGAGTCCCACTGTAGAAAACACCACTCCCCTGAATAGAAATAAGTCAGCAGGTGCGATTCAAAACCTGACCACCATCTTCCTCGAAATACCTGTAGAATTAACTGGTGCACTTCAACACAGCGAGTATTCAAGTATTGTTTTGTAGGGATTTGGCTGATTGGTTACAGGATTTCATCATAAGCTGACATTAGTTAGAGAACCATTGGAAAACCTGGGAATACTGGACGGCTGTTTCGTCCTAGTTTGGGTCTCTTCATCCGTACGCACCTACTCACCAACGGGATTTGAACCTAGGACTTCCTGGTTACAAGGCGAGCTCGTATACCACTAAGCCACTGGGACCCAATCCAATGGCCCATGAATTCTAACCTGCCAATTTACGATATAGCGCGACCGCTAGCCAATATTTTCGAGGAGTATTTGTCCTCACACCCAACCTGATGCACCCTACTGGTCACGAGTATTTATTTGCTCAGTCCGTTTTGTGAGAAGCCAGTGATACATGGATTAGATGAGTGCTGATCGATGAAGTCACCCTGTTTGCCATGTTCACAAGATGGAAGATAAATATTGCATTCACAGCTTTAGGATATATTGTACAGTATTCATGTTCTTGCTCAAAGAGTTGCCGAACGTAATGCCTTCTTTTTATACACAGACACCACCACGTCAAGTTCTATGCAAATATTACTCGCTTCAGTTATATTATTTCCACATCTATTCTTCTGTCTTTCATTTACTCACCGTATTCAGGTGTGTCGTTTGGCCTATGAATTGATGCAGACACGTCATGAAGAATTAGGAGACGCAACACAACTAGTTCGTTCTCTTGACTACATGCATCACTCAGAAGACTATTCGATGATCAAATTCGATGTAATCATACCAGATGTGAAAACAAATTTACACTATAACGACGAAGTCTATTTATACAGGAATTATTGGAATGGGACAGGGGCCATTAAAAGGATTGAAGTAAATGAGAAAAACCTAATTGAATTTGTTGCCTCTGCACGAAAGACTTCTTTTCTCCTACCTTCCTACAAATTGAGACCACGATATACGATAGCGAATGTCACCTGGTCGTAGCAATAAATGCTTTGCTAATTCAACTAGGCCAATTTCAAAGAGTTAGTGGTAAATAACGATAGTGTGTTCCCGAATTTATTCTTGTAAATAAACACAGACATCGACCGATATCTTGAACATACGCTCATTTGTGTCTGAACACCGTTTCGTTTGATTTCTATTGAAGCCAAAAATATGTGCTTCACCTTATATTATGCAGTCTGTAATACCATTTTCTTGATATTGGTGACATGTGAGGAATTCTCTGAATGATTTTATGTATCATAAGAAAGGCAGTTTATCATTACAATTCACATATGTTTGCTTCGCCTACACATGCTTTGTATGCATTCAAACTGCAATAACTTTTTTAACAGTGATCTTCTCATTATGATGTTTATGATTCATCCCCTGCATTCCATATAAATTGAAATACTTCGGTGGGACACATATATTGCACACTTGAGGCCATCTTCGTTTAAGCAGGCAGTCCAATCCTCCGTGAATGTCCAATTAACTTTCATCTCATTGTGAGTGTTTCCTGGGAAATTGGTTCTCAGGTGGTTCACTGAAACAGCTGCCTATTGCTTATTGCTGCTGGTCAGGCGTCGGGTCTCCGGTGTTCAGCGAAGGCATCTGCTGATGGATGTCTCAATCCAGGTAGAATTACCCTCCATGATGCACACGTCGATTGTCTGAAGGAAAAGGATGTGCTGATGTGACATTAGAGTTGGAAATTCTCATCTTATGCTCAGTGATGAAGAACTTCACATTGGTTACAGGATGACTGACTCTCCAGATCCAATTACAGCTGCCTGTGGATTTCTCATCCGTGATACCTGTACATGAAATGATGTCGTCCATGCATTTAGGCAACGGAGATGACACCATTCCGATCTCTGCAAGTGATGGTTATCGTTGCTTTTTCTTGCTTTTGGTTATATCTTTCACCCCTATCTGCTCTGTGTGCGCCTAAAGGGCTGTCTCGGAGATAGAGAGCATTTATTGATTACAATAATCTTCATCTCTCCGTCTCATTTATAAAGTAAACTCTCCATTTTGCATGATAAATTACACTGTATGATTCTCCATCTGATCACAGTCTGTAAATAGATATGTTGATGAAGAGCGAAAACTTGGGAAAATACCGCGCTTTTTCGCAACTAACTCAGTCTTAATCATGTGATTGTGTTTAAAATAATGAGTATCACTTGACATTATGTTTGTTTGGATTTTTATCATGGAAATCAGAGGCATCCAATTATTCAGAGGATAAATGTCTGACAAATCTTCTGCAAATAATCTAAATGAGAAGGCGAATCATTCTGAAGTCAGCGTGAGGATCTTCATCATTGAGCACGAGATGAGAATTCATAACTCTAACGTCATGTAAGATCTCCACTTCCTTCAAACAATCGGCGTGTGAATCATGGAAAGAAAATCGGCCTGGAGTCAGACACCAATCGACAAATGCGAAGTTTCTCATTCCCCATCGCTTTTAAATACACCTTATTGTGGTTTCCTCTACTGAGCATTTATCTCCTACCCTCGTCTCAATTCTTGAGAATGTCAGTAAAACACGCATAAGATAATGGCGATCACTTAAGATTAATCAGCGCTATTTACACTCATGAATGATGGTGGAGGGGTTCAGCATCGCTAACATGCTTTTCTGAAACACATGTTTCGATTCATATTGCTGTGTTTGAATCAGGCCAAAATACACTCTGAAAGCTGATTGCCAGGACAGTAGAAATGAGTTACTTAATTGACCTGGCGTAACACTGATGAGGTACTTTCTTTCGAAGTAAAACAACTATCACACCTTCAACTTAGCCGCCATGTTGGATGATTTAATACTCAGTAAATTGAAAGAAAAACAAGAAGGTGAACCTGATGTTCTCGTATATTTTAACAGCATCGAGAGACTGATTTCCTCATATAAACTGAAAAAGTAGAGGAAATGGTTCAGTGAAAACTTGAAGTGTGGTCTTATATCCAATGACTTCCTCATTAGTTCTGTGTATTCCGCCAGCCGGAGAACGAGAAGGGTTTCTGTGCAATACTTTCTCATTTTAGCGTTACTGTCAAACAAAACGATGTTAACCTCGAAATCTAAGCAGGAGATTTCAGCCCTTTCAACTTTAAAGTGAATTTTTACGACGCATTATTGGCAAAACTTACAGTAAGCTTCAAAATTCGATGAAGTCATACCAGAGGTGAACACAAATATATGCTTTGTTCACCCAGTTTAATTATACACACTTTTTCGAAACGGAACTGAGTCCTTACATATGTGTAAAACGTGGGCAGTGTGGTAGTAAGTAATTCCATATTAAAAGAGAAGACCTTCAGCGAAGAGACTCTTTTCGGCGAATTCATTCACATAGCTGTACAATCCCATTTATATATAATTATTTGTGTGTGCGTGTGTACATGAGGTTTGTCAAAATTAGATAATTGATCAGGTAATAAAAGAATGATCTAGTATAGAAACAAGGTTAGTTGGACAGCAACTAAAGTAAGATTGAGTTAGTAAGTTAGATGATGTGTAATATAATTGACTAAAATGTTTCGACTTAGGTCAGGGTAGCAACAGAGGTAATTACAGGTAGAGACCAAGTAGAAGTGGGGTAGATAATAATGCCATTTAAATTAGAACTGAAATTGAGCAAATAAGTTGGATGACGTGACACAAATGACTAGAAACTAAGCGTTGGTTAAGTCAGTAGCAGTGGTAGTGAGGTGTTGAAATTAAATCTGGTGGGAGTAGAGAACAAGAAAGTTGAAAATGCAAAATATTACAATTGAGAAGACAAATTAATACTAATGAAGAGACAGAAAAGAAAAAGGATTAGGTAGAATTTACTTGTTGGGTAATAAGATAGATTAATTCCATTGCAAGTGTAGTGACTGAACGAACTTCTTCTGTATGCAGAGTTCAGGACTAAGCAAGTGAAGTTTGAAGAAGTCTGATTCGTACACCTTTAGGAAGACTACTTCTTACTCTGTAGATGACTTTGAAGTTTGTTTGGGGTGTAGCTTGGTGTCCGGATTCTATCAGATGTTCTTAGATGAAGCTGCGGGGACATCGTTTTTCTCCTTTGTAAAACCATGATGGTCAGTGTTCGGTGATACGCTTGGAAAGCGAACGCTGGGTGCGGCCGACATACCTGGTTCCACACCAGGAGGTGAATTGATAAGTACACAGTGATGAGGCCAGCAGTGGCAGCTTATCTTTCACGCTTACATGAATCTTAGGTTTTGTGGAGAAATTTGGTCGTAGTTCAGCTGCGGAGAAGGTCTTCTTGAGTAAGCTCGACAGTCGATTTTTTAGTGTTCCCGCAGATATATCTCCATTGAATTGAAGGTTCATATAGAGTAGTTTTTTCAGGACGCTAAGCATGGGCGTTAGTGCACAAAAACTACGTTGTACCAAGGAAAATCTAAGACAGGAAGTGGTACACATAAAAGAAGCCTTGAAACTAAATCATTACCCGGATTAATTAGTCAGGAAATATGTAATGAAATGTAAAAATAAAATAAATAATAGTAGCGATAGTGATAATAATAATAATATTAATGACGACACCAACAATAAGGAATCTAAATCATCAGTAGTAATTGCATGCAATGAAGAGCCTCGGAAACTTTAGGCAGAATTCTTAACAAGGCAAGAATAAAAGTGGCTGGCATTCAAACCCACAAACTCGGTTAAAATAATTTTCACCGATTAGGGGACATAACAAGGTAGGAATAACAGTAGCATTCAAACCCACAAACTTAATTAGAAACAAGCTTTTTCGGTTAAAGGAACAATCCTGTGGAGCCTTTACAACAAAACAATTTAGTTTATCTAATACTCCGCCTGCAATATTTGTCAGGTCAAATACGTAGGTCAAACTAGAAGAACAGGGGCAGTCACACTAGCCGAACATAAAAACCTAGCTAAATCTAGACTGGTTGACCGAAATAAGATAAGAAATCTAGAGGAGTAGTTCAGCCATAGACAGCACTACATACAGTTACACAACCATACAATAGGCTGGATCGGATAGGATGACAGTTTTAAAGTCAAATGTCACAGGGTGGAGGGAGGAAGAGATTGATAACAGAAGCTTTGTTTATCGAAACAACCGCAAATACATGTAATAGGAATGGTTCAACACCTGTCACAGATATCTAAAAAATTCTACTATCCCAATGACGACAAATAGGAGAAGACAAAGAAAACTATAAAACTCAAGTTTCAAAGTCCTGTGATTACAATTGATATGATTATGAACAATAACAGATTGTGTTCGAAACACTGTCATGCAGTAAATAACACTGTTTCACTGTGTGATACATCTAATAAACTATTAAAATATAATTATACTTTATTCGATCTAATCCACAATGCTCAAACTTTTTACTGATATTAATCTAATAAACAAACCATTATGGAATTTTGAAGCGAGGGAAACAGTGGCAATCCCCTTCTCCTTTGAAGTGACCTTTTGTCCGAAATCTCTGGGCGTACATATAACACAATCCTGTGGTGAAGGATACCAGAAAGTGAAATGTTTATCGCATTTATATAATTCAAGTTCAAATAGCAACCGTGTGCAGTCCAGGTGAAGTGCATTTCATCTCATTCAAGTGATGTATAGCTCCACGTCGTATCGGAGCATCTCATGAGAACAACCAATTTAATTAGTACCTGAGAATGAATAGTATACAAGTCCAGTATTAGGTTACCGCTGTTAATCTAAAGCAAATGAATGGCTGTAATCTGTCTAAGGTCTGTGATTTGTCTGCAAAACGTTGATTTGACTTTCAAGACTACAAGATATCAGTCTCAAGACATTACTAACATTTAAAACTTCATTCTCACACTGTGTGCCTGTGTGTCCGTGGTATCCAATTCCCAGTTATGTATACATCCATTGTCGAGAGGTGAGACACTACAATGTTTAGTTGATGAGAACTGAGCACATAGCAAATCAGACCTGTAGACATTGTGTTTCTCATCAGATAGAAGATTACCTGTCAGTAACCCCAATTATCTCCTAAGCACGTTCTAAAAACAGTCAATTTTCGAAAACCAAACTTCCTAGAAATTTATACTGGTGGAAGTAACTTTATGACAGTTTCCCATGCAGTGTGTTCATGTAGTTCAGATTGCTAAGGGAATGGAGTGGGAAAACCTGACAGCATAAAATATCGCCAACTATCACAATCAGTGCAGAAAACACATGGAATTAATATATTCTGCATTCAATCGATTTTACCCTGATGCTCATCTAGTAATTATCGGAAGAAAGTAGAAACATATTTCATCTTAATTAACGTATTAACCAGTAAAAAATGAAAGTAAGAAAAGCAAAGACGTGAATAATGATAGTTATTGAAAGTAACATCTATAAACCTTCATTATCTTAAATGAAATGGAACCAGAGCTTGGCTATTTAGAACGGATCAAAGAGATTGTCTGTTTCCAGAAAAACACAAAGAAAACGATGTTGTCGGATTCACAGACAGATTATTGAAAAGCAGTCACAAAATTCAAGTAGGATATCATTGATAAAGGCCACATAAATAGGCCGTTACAATTTTGCTTCAGTTACTGTGCTTCATTTACGGTGCATAGGACGGAAAACGAATGATAGCGACGTGAATCAATCGATTCAGCACCACAAAATGGCGAAATGATAAGCTTCCGTCCCCTGGCTTAGTATTTGTCATACAATTCCATTTGTTATTTCAACTAACATATATATATGTACATATGCAATACTGTATACGAGGCCAAGAATGTGAAGAAAAAATACTCTCAAATCATGGGAGACTATTCAAATCTCATTGAAAATTTTGCATTTCAAAGTTGTTACTGTTCACAAAGAAGATTTTATCATGGCAAATGTGACATTTTTTCAAAATGTTCACCTTTACACTTATCTGGCTTCATAAAGCACATAGGATGCGGTTATCTTAATTCGAATAGTCACTGGATAATTAGCAACAGAAGTCGTGTCACTACAGAAGATACCTAAACCTCGAATATGTGTATGCATGGCGAAGCTTGTGAATTTAGATATGATAGAGAAGATTTGTAGCTCAGGTGGATGATTTTGATGTGGTTGTGTTGT